GGTTGGTAGTTAGGTCTCATCGTTTTTTCGATTGAAATAGCTCGATGTAAGTATAAGCTTTAATTTCGTAGTTTCTTTTCTCGCACTTCTCGCTTGCAGAGTTCTCTTCCGGTTTCGTGATTGCCTTTGACCTACAATCTTCAGATATCAGTCGCCATTTTCTGTCTTCTTGAACTTTGTTCTTTTATTGTCCTTTCTCCTCACTAACTTTTTCTCATCTTCTTTTATTCTCAGTTACCCTTTGCGTCTCAGTTGCATTATCGACTTGCATGAAGTAAAATGATTTGTTTTTTTTTTAAATGAAAAGATATTCCAATATTTCTCCAGTGTTTTTTCTTTCTTTTTTTTACTTAAACATCTGCGAAAGGAAAGGCCGCTCCGTGAAGAAAAAAAAAAAACACACAGAAAAATAAACTCAACAACATTATAGGAAGGTAAATAAGGGCGTTAAAAAAATGAAGGTAGGGCCGCCTAAATTAACATGTTTACAAGTAAATGAGGTGTGTTTGTGTGTGGCGTTCCGACGGGAGCGGAAGTTGTCCCCTATTCGCCGGAAGTTACGAAGCCAGTGATCCGAGGCGGCAACGTTACATCCGCCATTTATAATGAGGAAAACAAGGAAAATCACTATGAGCGGCTAAGAAAGATGAAGTTCACTGAAATACTAAAATACAGTTCCGACCACAGAACACCTGGCGCCACCTATCAATGGTTTAAGGAACCACTCCGATGTTGTAAGCACAAACACGTGTCAATCTCGAGGGTTAAAAATCTTACAGAACCATATCAACGTTCTTAGGGCCTCAATGCAAATTGATGCCTGGCAAGAGAGTCTCGCTCGAGTCAGCCATCGTGTAATGAATTCATTCCTCAATAGTTGCTTTAAAATAATAGCCTTATGCCAAACTAAGCTAATTATTAGGTTGACAAAAAACATTGATACTGTTTTTATATTTTAAGTGGATTAAGAGGCCTTATTTTAATTAACTTCATTTAAAAGAGCTCGCTTATCATTGCCTTTGACAGTAGCCGTATCAGCATGACGTCATTTCATGACTTCCTGTGTCGTAGCAACAACGGGTGTGTCCATGACAAGATATCCTGATGGGGCCAATCCTTATTCAGTTTGGCGTCGAATTCAGAGGCAGAAAAATAGATTCATACCTTCACAAAAAAAAAAAAAAATATTTCTGTCTGAATTCGAACCTGGCTCGACAATTATTTAAACATTTTCAACAGAAATATCAACATGCATTTAAAAAAAAAACTTTGAAAATTAGTGTATTTTTATTTACTGAAAAGTGGGCTAGAGGAAATCATCAACGGAAAGAACGTTGTGGAGAGCCATGATCGTCCATGTCCTGAAGAGACACCCCACAAAAATAAAACAGGGAAAGGCATACCCACTTAAAACTTAAAAGCTCTTTTTTTTTTAAAAAAAAAGAAAAAATAATTAATTATTTTTAGGCAATATATGGAGATATTCACTTTTCAAAAAAGCTTCCAAAAGTAGCTTCAAGTATATCATGCTTAACTTTTGGGTTTAGTGAGAGCCAAGATTTGATCCCTGTAGGGAAGGCATTTGCAATCTTTTCCGACTAATGGGCCACATCAGTGATCGCTAATCATAAGACAAGCTGTACTATTAAAAAGATTCAAGGTAATATGTCGTTGAAATTGCCGCAGCCATTTTTACTACAGAAGATCATAAGCGCAATTATCTGCTTTAAAAATGTGGAAAGTTTAATTGTTTTAAATAAATCACGATAAAATGTTATCACAGATGATAGTGATTAACAGATATTTTCATGTGATTTGTTTCTTATTTATTAATTCTAAAATACAAGAAACAATTTTTAAAATAGAAAATATTTCTTCTCCAGAGAGAAAAAAAAATGATGTCATTACAATCATGATCTCCCTTAGTGAAAATCAGTTTGAAATGATGAAAACGAAAGAGTAAGTATATGAGTATACAAGTTACAGTTTACATATTCCTGAACTAGACATGACATCCATATGAAAGTCTCTATCTACCAAAACTATTTAAGAACAAGACACAAGTTTTCAGGTTAATGTTTTAGTTTCATAGCATATAAAACTACCTTTAGCTCAGTCTATACTATGTTCAATTATCTTATCCCCAATACTAAATGTGTTATAACTGATCCACACTATTCAGTTATGTGCCATGCATGATACACGCTTAGGCAATCATCTATCTTTCGATACATGACTGACGTTACAGATTTTTCTCGTAGTAATTTGCCATTCCTTTCTGCGGTAGACTATTTGCCATCCAAGGCTATAGAACCCGATCTGTCTTGCTATGTACTCATAGCTGTGAGGAGAAGGATTCATACCTATCTCAAGAGTATTAGCCCGTAAGTTAACGTAGTGGATTCGACTGGAATTCGAACTCGGTTCTCCTCAATCCGAGCCGCTATCCATTACTCCACAGTGCCTAGTTATTCGAAATATTTGGTATTTACTAAATACTTTGTATATCTGCAGTGTACCTCTATATATAATCATTAGAGTGAATGAAAATTTTGGTGCATTTGTTTAATAAATAATTCTGACGCATTTCTATAGTAAAATCATTTCCAGTGAATTGCCACGTGTCCTTGAAGATCTGATTTATCACTGCTTATTTGCAGACTCAAGCATGAAAATTCGACCAATATTTAACTATTGTCTAAGGTATTAAAGCGTCTAAGATTTACCCATTGACTTAAGTATAAACACGGCCAATGTTTACGCACATACTAATAAAAGCTACGTACATAATAACGTACATAATAAAAGCTAGATTTCGTCGTTAAACAACTCAACAATACTTGATATGTCGGAAAATCCACTAACTCTAAATTTCCAAACTGTCCAACTGCATCAACTGCTCTGTGTCGTTTTAATCTTTTATCTAATCCACGGTCAAAATCTCCCTTTCATTTTGGGAAAAATTGAGAAATAAACAGGGTGTCCATAAAGTTCGTGTGCACTTTAAAACATTTATAACTTTATTTGTATTTGCGATAGAAACAATTTGTAAAAAGGATTAGAAAGAAGTAAATCTATATTTTTTAAGGTTTTATTGAAATTTTATTTAACTTTCCACGTGTCCTCCATCGTTAGCAATACATAAAGTAATACGATTTTGCAGTTCACGGAAAACATTTGCCAGCTGATTTACAGTAATGCCTGAAATCACATTAGTTATTTTAGCTTTCAAATCTTCTAATGAACTAGGTTTGGTTGCATACACAATTGTTTTCACATGTCCCCATAAAACAAATCTAATGGAGTTGAATCTGTTCCATCACTTCCGATCCATCTGTTAGGAAATTCCTGATTTAGATACTCAGAAAAACACAGAGCAAAGTGACAAGGAGCATCATCTTGTTGAATCACTGTATTATAACATTTTTTCAGATTATTTCTATCGCAAATCCAAATAAAATTATAAATTTATTAAAGTGCACACGGATTTTATGGACACCCTGTATATTAGCATAGAACTTTACGGTTACATCTAGCAATTTTTACCGGTGAATTTATGAGATCTAACTGCCAATCTAGTACTACGCTTAAATTCGTGAAGTCCAAGTACCAAATAGGAAAGCTGATAAGAGCAATTACCACAAGAGTGTTTATAGAAACGGCAGAGGGAAGCTACATTGCAGCGATGGGTAAGTGACTGAAGCCGAGATGCCAGGTCAGGGTTGATAAAGTTGCAGTCTCTAAATTCGATTTTGTCAAGAATCTCAAGATGTATAGCAGAAGCACTAGACTAAATGGCAAAAATATTAGATGCACGAAGGAATGATAGTTTTTATAAAAGGCACAAGATAGATTATGATGAGAGAAATTGTTTAGCATGAAATGCTGAACTGCAAACTCAGAAAATGATTCAATATATTCACTCTAAGGCGCCGGGGGTTAGCATCAGCCATGAACGCCGGTTATAAATCCTGATAAGTCTTAGAGTTTTCTTCGGATCGTCTCAGCTGTACAAGTTGAATAAATCCACCGAGTAATCGCATTTTTGACTCAGTTGTAATGATTAATCAGATTACGATGAGGGTGTCTTCATTTCGCGTTTAAACTAAAACTATAACCTTACAGACAAGCCGCAATCTGCCATTGGGTGGTATTCCACTAGCGTTTTCTGCTGGTGGCCCACCGTCGAACCGCCGGTGCGTTCGTCTCGGCAATGTTACCACCTGCTAGTGGCCCACCGTTGGACCGCCGGTGGCCTGCCGATGGCTGCCCTGCCGCCAGAGGATCGATGGCGTTGCCACCGGTGGCTCGCCAGTGGGCCACTAGCGTCTTGCGTGTAGGGAAATCATTTATGTTGTCTAACCCTCGGGTAACACAGAGCAAGATCAAATGAAATAAAAAAAAATCACTTGTAAGAATGTGCATTGGAAATCAGTATTAGAGATCCTTTTTTTTCTTGTACTCGAAGACTAATCACATTCGATGGCGGCAAATAAGTGAATCTATTGGACAATACAGCAATTATACAAGGTCAATTGTAGTATTATGCAGGTCAGAAGACCGTGTTCTGCAAATCTTTTAACTGGGAACTTCATCTTTTATTGTCTAAACATTATTTAAAGATCTGGCTTCTCCATACGCTAAAACACTCTCGCGAGTGGCGTATATACAACTATATCAACCACTAAACAATTAAACAAGCTGAAGTGTAGCGATATTCAGGCTTTGATTGATTGAATGATTGATTTGTTTTTTACGACTTATCAACATTTTTCACATTATTTAAAGCCACAAAACATTTTTAGACTGTAAGAACTTTTAGGGATAATTATGATTTAATGATATAAGTTCTACTAATTAACCCTCAGCTTGGGGAGAAGAAGCCGATTCATAGCTTTCCAAAAGGTATTTGAGCGTCAGTGAATATAATGGAATTAGAACTTTGATCTCTGATTTACAATTCCGAGCCATTATCCATTACACAACCTGCACCTCCAAGTTTACAACACATGGTATTCCTAAGTTGTCACCCATCTAGATAATAACCAGGATAGAAATTGCTTAACTTCGATGATCGTACGGGATCCAGCGTTTCAACGCGATATGGCCGTAAGCAGCGATATTCAAGTCGGTATTTTTCTGCAATTCTTCCAACTGAGCCATTTGTGCATGCCTAGAAAAACAGTATTTACATATTCAACACTTTTCATACACTTAAACTCTACCCACTGACCTCTTCTATTTGCCGCGTCCCTTATAAACATGGATGATCATGGCTCTCCACAACTTCTTATCTCTTTTGGCTTCTAACAGCATTTGTTCATTTGCCTAGCCTTCCGCTCCCGGTTTCTCCATCCATTCTCAAAAGTTCTGTCAGGTTTATGGCTTGCTGCCTTCCTCAATTTTTCTTGCCCTCAGTATATCCCTGTGAGGGATATGTTTTCCAAGACCTTCATTCTCATTATGTTATATATATATATATATATATATATATATATATATATATATATATATATATATAATCGACTCTCCTGTCGCGTTCGACGTATGAGGGTCAGGCCGATAAGTCCCCAGGAAACCGACATCCCGACACCGGCACATGAGATTTGTTTATAGTGGTGAAGGCCTTGTGCAGGACCAGCCACACTTTATATATATATATATATCATTCGAAAATTATAACATAAATATGTTATAAAATCACTACAAAAATAGCCATTTTGTTTTAACACTTCTGGTGTCTTATCAAGTAGATGCCTTCCTCAATTTTTCTTGCCCTCAATATATCCATGTGAGGATAAGTTTTACAAGCCCTTCTTTCTCGTTATGTTTTATATATAATATATATATATAATTAATTTGGAAATTATAACATAAATATGTTATAAAATCACTACAAAAATAGCCATTTTGTTTCATCACAATCTAGAATCTACATTCAACACCATCACTTGATAAGACACCAGAAGTGTTGAAATAAAATGGCTATTTTTGTAATGATTTTATAACATATTTATGATTTATGTCATAATTTTCGAATAAATTATATTTGCTATACTCTGTATTGAGCACTCTTTTAAGAATATTTTATTTTGGCTATTAGAATGTATTCCATCTACACCAATCTTATATATATATATATATATATATATATATATATATATATATATATATATATATATATGTATGTATATATATATATATATGTATATATATATATATATATATATATATATATATATATATATATATATAATCAATTCATCCTAACAAGACAATAGCGTCACTAAGATGCAAGGGGCTACTGAGAAGGAAAGAAGAACCGGAAACCTAATCATACACAAAGGATAAAAATCTACGCCTGTTCAGAAGACTAGGAAGGAACGTGAACTAGATTATAGGTGAACCTATCTTCCCTTAGAAAATTATTATGTGTCTAAAACCGGTGAGAAACATACGGTGAAATGACTGACGATTTATAGATATGTCATCAGACAATTTCTTTTCATGAAAACTTTTTAGAAGTTCTAATATTCGAGAATAAATTTCTCAGAATTTTAATCCTGTGGTTTCTCTCATCTCCTAAAAATTGCAACCTCAAACTTATGTTTTATTATTTTCCGTCGTATTAACTACTGGGCCAGAATCATAACTGCTTCGTGCTTTAAAGTTTATGGGTGTAATACATCTGCATAAATATTTAGTAGCACTCCCGATATTTTTCTGACGCAAATCCTTGGACTACTGGAACATTTCTCCTCAGAACACACCCTTTAAAGAATATACAACGTGACCCACGCAGCGAGATCACAGCTCACACTCAAAAGTGCCCCACCCTTGAGATTATGCTTATTCTGTGAGCCCTCTGAATTTGCTTTTGTTCAGCTAGAGTGTACCTAAAAACATATATATATATATATATATATATATATATATATATATATATATATATATATATATATATCTAAATCTAGTAAAGAACACACACGGACACGTACGCCACACACATCATAGTCACGTGATCTTATTCATCAGTGTAAATATTTCGATCCTCACTGGGTGCTAAGTTTTCTGTCTTCATGACCAAAACAAGCTTAAGTATGCACGAAGATAGACTGGTCAGTTGATAGGAATCAGGAAAAAAGGATTTATTTGACACATCAAAAATTAATTTATCAACTCCGTTTCCATGTTTTCTTCTTCTTCTTCTTCTTTTTCTTCTTCTTCTCCTTCTTTTTCTTCTTCTTCTTCCCCTTCTTCTTCTTCTTCTTCTTCTTCTTCTTCTTCTTCTTCTTCTTCTTCTTCTACTTCTTCTTCTTCTTCTTCTTTGTGCCGGTCTCTTCAGGATGTGGTTCTACACACCTTCCTGTCGCTTGTGACTCTTAGCAATGTTTGTCTTTTTGCTAGCTCTTCTAGCCCCACTTCTACCGACCATTTACGCAAACTCCTTTGGTTATTCGCCGCCTTCGTCTTGCCTTCAAGATATCTTATGAATGTTCAATTTTCTAAGCCTTCTTTCCTCATTATATTCCCTATATCTTTCTGATGTTAAGTATAACTGTGCATTTTGTTTCAATTTTCTCTAAAATATCATCGTTGCTTACATGTTCAGTTCGTGATATTCTCATCATCCATCTGTAGAACTACATTTCTGTTGCTTCAAGTCTCTTCTTCATCTGTGAGGAGATTGTCCAGTATACCCTGCCATATAGAAGGACTGATATTCCATAACAGTTCCGTAATCTTCTCTTTGTTTCTGTTGCTTTAAGTCTCTTCTTCATCTGTGAGGAGATTGTCCAGCATTCATTGCCATACAGGAGGACTGATGTTTACGTAACAGTTCAGTACTTTTTTCTTTGTTTCTATTGCCTCAAGTCTCTTCTTCATCTGTGAGGAGATTGTCCAGCATTCATTGCCATATAGGAGGACTGATATTACGTAACAGTTCCGTACTCTTTTCTTTATTTCTAACGAAATTTTCCTGCTTTTTAATATTTTGCTTAGTTTTTGAAAGGCATATTTCGCTATCCCAATGCGCCTTCGGCTTTCGGTGCCACACTTTCCATCCTATGTTAAAACACTTCCAAGGTAGTTAATTTTTCGTACTTGCTTGATTTTCGTGCCTCCAATTTGTAGTTCTCATCTTGGGTTGTTCATTTTGTTATCAACTATACGTCGGCTTAGAATTGATAGTTAGTCCTTTCTTCTCACTTCCTTCACTACCTTCTGTAGGAGTACCTGTAATTTACTTTCTGTGTCGGCTATCATCATTGCGTATCTTATATTGCTAACATCCTGGCCACGTGAAAAGGCACATCTTTGTTTATTTTTGTGTATTTACTGAATATATTTTCTATCTATATACAATCGATTTGCTGTCACTATAAGTTCTGGATTATCCTAATATCTTGAAATTTGAAACGAACCAATATATCTTATAATACAGAAAATACAATTATAATACTCATTTCCATGTAACCAAAAAAACTATAAATAATGAAAGCATTAATACTAAAAACATAAAAAGCCAGTATTCAATAAAATCAACTATGAACACAGCCATATTGTGCTGAACATATTTGGAAAATAAGAAATATTCCTGTCTCTCTACATAAAAATCTACACATTCCGTTATAAAAAAAAAATCCTTGCTAATTTCTAATAGAACAGCCGAAGGCTATACAGAACATTCAAACAGTTTTAACAGACTTTATGTCTAGAAAAGAAAACGTTTACAGGAACACAAGAAAAATGAAATAAAAGGCTTAATCACAGTAGGTTCTAAGTGGTCTTTAATGAAATTGTATAAAAGAGGGATTGATGCCCAATTACACAATTATATATAGATAATTTAAATATCTGTCTATATTTCTGAGATGAGGTATTATGTACATTATTTACATTATTCGGACTATTGTCCTCATCTTTGTCGCCATATTTATCACAACGTTTCGGCCGTTGTACGCTCCGGCCTTCTTCAGGTGGTCGGAATGTCGAACTGAACCCTTTATTTCGCTCACCGGGTTAGACTGTTCTAGTTCCACGTGCCATGTTTGATGGATGTCAGTTATCAGTTATCTCCTGCTAATTTTGCTCTGAAAGTTCTCCACTGCCTTAACCGTGTATTGAACTCACACTCTTTGGGTCCTGTCACTGTTAAGGCAGTGGAGAACTTTCCCAAGGATATTTGTACGTAAATGAATGTAATGGATTCGACTAGAATTCGAACTCTGTTCTCCGATTCCTCAATCCGAGCCGCTATCCATTACTCCATAGGGTGTTTAAAGTGCCGTCCTGAAGAACAACAAATATTTATTTTTCAACATAGTCTCCTTTTTTCAATGCACATAATCCAGTGTTGAAGATGTAGGTAAATCACTAGTTTTGTTTTCTAATGTTTTTAAACATTAGAAATATTTATATGATACGAGAAATAATTATTTTTCAACAGTATCTCCTGTTTTTTCACTGCACTTAAAACAGTGGTGGGTATTAATAATGTGTTTCAGACAACGGCATTATTGATCAGCCGTCGAATATCCACTCATTAAAACGGGCACATTCACAGGCGTATAATTACACTCTGATTTCACACATATACATCATTTTCCTTACATAAACTAAACGCATGAATAAAATGTCATCAATACATTCGTAAATGCCTTCATATACACATCCACACGCAATCGCATAAGTGCTTGCGCATGCGCGCATATACATATACCAGGGGGAATAAATTTATTGCCCCAAATCGTCTGACCTCCGACACTTCAAAAACTCCTGTTCGGAATAAAGAAAACTTTCATTTCATTTCAAATAAACTGCGTATTTAATAAGCGTCTAATTTTTCAGAAAGAAATTACAAACAAACTTTTGCAAGAAGCCACACGTGGACCTATTTGCAATTTCCTGTCCATTCTGCAGAATGAAAACCCACAACACGATACACCATTGGTCCATTGTTTAGTGACGTCATTACTTTCAAACGCAGTTCTATAATAAAATCTTGAAGTTATTTTTCCGGTTACAGATCTTCGCATGCAGGTGAAATTATTTATTTAAAACAACTAAAAGGAGAGAAATATATATTAAACATACGTGTATCTATCTATA